TGGTATTGGGGATGCTAAGAAGGTTCTCAAGGATGAGAAAACTGCAGTTGGTCAAAATGGCAAAGCAGATGATGTTGGGGGGCCAAAAGGTCAGCTTGTTCAAGAAGAAGAAAGAGAGAAAGGTAAAGTTGGTTTTTCAGTCTACTGGAAATATATCACAACTGCGTATGGAGGAGCACTTGTGCCCTTTATATTGTTGGCACAAGTTTTGTTTCAGCTACTTCAAATTGGAAGCAATTACTGGATGGCATGGGCAACTCCGGTCTCCAGCAATGTACCGGCTCCTGTTGGAGGCTCTACTCTTCTAGTTGTCTATGTAGCTTTGGCAATCGGAAGTTCTTTTTGCATCCTTTCGAGGGCCTTACTTCTTGTAACGGCTGGGTACAAGACTGCCACAATACTGTTCAATAAAATGCACTTCTGCCTTTTTCGCGCCCCTATGTCTTTCTTTGATGCCACCCCTAGCGGACGAATTCTGAACAGAGTAAGTGTGAAATATGCATTTGTTTGTTTGTTTGTTTGTTTATACAATTGTTATTATTGTTCAGTTTTATATTTTCTACAATATGAGTGCTCGATGATTTTACATACTTCTACAAATCCAAAATTTTATTAAACCAAGCTATGTTCTTCTCACAGGCATCTACGGACCAAAGTGCAGTGGATTTGAACATTTCATTTCAAGTTGCCGCTTTTGCCTTCTCAATAATACAACTTCTGGGAATTATTGCAGTAATGTCGCAGGTTGCTTGGCAGGTCTTCATCATTTTTATTCCTGTCATTGCAATTTGCATCTGGTTACAGGTAGCCTTATATTCCCTTCTCAGAATCTTATAAAGTAATTTCAAATTATGGTTATCATTTCGTTGTACCATCAGTAATCTCAAACCTTGTGGGCACATGGATTTGCTATATTCTCGTTCTTTTATATAACCCTACGCCCAAGTTGAGGGCATGTTTTTGTCCATGCATGATTGTAGTAGTTGCTCGTGTTCTTCTTAATTGCAGCAATATTACATATCTTCAGCACGAGAATTGGCACGGTTAATTGGAGTATGCAAAGCTCCAGTTATACAACATTTTGCTGAAACAATCTCAGGATCAACTACAATTAGAAGTTTTGATCAGGAATCTAGATTCCGGGACACAAATATGAAATTGATAGATGGGTATTCTCGCCCAACATTTCACAGTTCTGGTGCAATGGAGTGGCTATGCATTCGCTTGGATATGTTGTCTTTAATTACATTTACATCGTCCTTGGTTTTTTTGATCTCTGTTCCGGAGGGAACAATTGATTCGAGTAAGTGGTTCTTGTTTATCATCTTTGTCAATTATCCTTTGCTTCTGCAATTGTGAATGGTGTGAAGAATACATGACACGCTCTTTTATCCCCTTGTGTGTTTAAAGGTGTTGCGGGATTAGCAGTAACATATGGGCTTAATCTTAACATGTTACAAGCTTGGGTCATATGGAATCTTTGTTCTATGGAGAATAAAATTATATCAGTTGAAAGAATACTTCAATACACTTCTCTCCCTAGTGAGCCTCCTCTTGTTATAGAATCAAACAGGCCAGAGGCAGACGGTCACTGGCCATCACATGGTGAAGTTGACATTCGTGATCTCAAGGTAAATTTGATTTTTGGTTGGTCTTTCTCTATGCCAAATAAGTTCTCAAAGTAATATGTAGGGTCATTCATGGGTTCTCCATACTCGACGTCTGTATGTATGTTGCTAATGCCAAGCATTGATATAGGTGCGATATGCCCCACACATGCCACTTGTGTTAAGAGGCCTCACATGCACTTTCTCTGGAGGAAAGAAGACTGGCATTGTAGGAAGGACGGGCAGTGGTAAATCAACACTTATACAGACACTCTTCCGTATTGTTGAACCCGATGGTGGACACATTTTTATAGATGATATCAACATCTCTTTGATCGGGCTGCATGATTTAAGATCTAGATTGAGCATAATTCCACAGGATCCAACCATGTTTGAGGGGACGATACGAAGCAACCTGGATCCGCTGGAAGAGCATACGGACGAACAGATTTGGGAGGTGGGCATGGCTTTATTTGATGTTTATATTTTTTTGGAACAAAAATGGGAAAATGTAAATGTCTGGGATTGATTTAAAAATTCTGTAAATATGTTGTTGAGGCTGTGTAGTTAACTGTTTTTCATTGGTTTAGGCTCTTGATAAGTGCCAGCTTGGAGACGAAGTCAGGAAGAAGGAATGCAAACTTGATTCAGCAGGTTTTCTTTATTGCCACTTTCACATAAACTCCAGAGATTTCTTTAACCCCTATAATCTCTGGAATTCTTATTTCTCATTGTTCCTATGATTTTTTCAGTTAATGAGAATGGAGAGAATTGGAGTGTGGGTCAAAGACAGCTGGTCTGTCTTGGCCGTGTGCTACTCAAGAAAAGCAAGGTTTTGGTGCTTGATGAGGCAACAGCATCAGTTGATACAGCAACTGATAATCTGATTCAGCAAACCCTGAGGCAACACTTCTCCGACTCCACAGTCATAACCATTGCACATAGGATAACATCTGTGCTCGACAGTGACATGGTCCTACTATTAGATCATGGTTAGATCACATTCAGCCTTCAGTACATATTGTTATCCTTGAGGCTTTGGAGTAAAATCATCTTGATTTTTTTCGTTTTTCCTCTGGTGCAGGATTAATTGAGGAATATGATACTCCAACAAAATTGCTGGAAAACAAGTCATCTTCATTTGCCAGGCTCGTAGCAGAGTATAGTGTGAGATCAAATTCTAGTTTCGAGACTTAGAGAACTGTGGATGCCGGACCACACCATTAATGGCTGATGTTATGCAATGATGCTGAAAATTGAGTTGTAGTTATTGTCCCAGGTACAATTTGCCCCAATGGATGGGGCATCTTCTGTGATCCAAACTGTTCTCCCGCAAGATGCGTTATGATTTTCATAATGCAACAGAGTTGATGTACACTACTATAAATTCTTATGTATGCTAAGTTGTATTACTATGAAGATGAACAGTCAATAAAGANGGATGGGGCATCTTCTGTGATCCAAACTGTTCTCCCGCAAGATGCGTTATGATTTTCATAATGCAATAGAGTTGATGTACACTACTATAAATTCTTATGTATGCCAAGTTGTATTACTATGAAGATGAACAGTCAATAAAGAGTTTGGTATAGCGTATTATTATGTGGATAGAGATGAGTTTGACTGATTTTTTCTTTGTTGATTGATTTCCGGTCTTGTTTTATGGCGTGCTTATGCACACAGGGCAGGGATGATAATTTGTTACACGATTCGTCAACTTAGTACAAAATGGACAATAATGTATCAAATATGGGTTTAATCTTATCAGATTTTAGTATCAAGTACTGCAACTCAAAGTGTTTTATTTTCAAATAGAAAATTAAGCGGTACGTAATTGATATTGTAACAAGTGTTTCATTTTCGAAATAAAAAATTAAACGGTACACCACTGTCAGATATAGTGCAACTCACGTGCCTNTTTCAAATAGAAAATTAAGCGGTACGTAATTGATATTGTAACAAGTGTTTCATTTTTGAATAAAAAATTAAACGGTACACCACTGTCAGATATAGTGCAACTCACGTGCTTCATTGTGCTTCATTTTCAGACATAAATCTTAAGGACAGTTTGACTTAGAGTTACATTGTTTAAGTTTATGACATTAAAAATACAAATTGAGAATTTTAATTTTTTTTTTTTGTTGTAAATTGTGCAAATCGANTTTTTTTTTTTTTTTGCAAAATGTGTTTTTTAGATAATTTTTTCTATTTTCTTTTTGTATTTTTTACTTGTTATAATCATTCTGTATTACTTCCAATCCTCAACACTCTCATTAAACCAATAATTGCAAAACATTTCTTTGCTTATATGTGTTTGTGTTTGTGTTTGGTCTTCTATTAGATAGATTATATTTTATTTCTTTTTCTATTATCTTCCTATTAAAGTTGTTAAATGTTGACAACAAAATCCAATTACTTGGGGAGGGACCAAAAGGTTAAAGCATGGAGGAAAATGAGGAGTTTGTAAGACGTGAAAACTACTGATGGAATTAGGAATTTAAATAATTGGACCATACCAAAGGTTGCCTTTTTTCTTCCCCTTCTCCACCTCCTCTTTCTTCTTCTTCTTCTACTTTTTATTGGCCTCCTCCTCCTCCTGCTTATTCTTCTTGACTTCTCCCTCTCCTCTTACTCTTCCTCTCTTTCTCCCAATCTTCTTCTTCTCCTACTCTTCCCCCTGTTTATTCTTCGTGACTTCTCTGTTTCTCCTCTTCTTCTTTTTCTTCCTTCTCCTTTTCTTTTTCTCCATCTCTTGCTGTTTTTAATCCTTGTTTAGGTTTTATGGTTTCAGGTATTATGGATTTAGGGTTTAGGGTATTGATGTGTGTCTAACTAATATTTATTCTAGATTTATTATATGGTCAATTGATATTGTTATCTTTCTCATTTCCCAATGCCTTTAAATAAAACTTTGGTAATGGAGTTTGAGAGATGGATCAATTGGACAAACTGATAATACTCAGTAGACGATAAGAGTAATTATGCTTACATGATATGTATGATTGCGATTCGTGTTAATAATAATGATTAGCAAATTTATCAATGTCTTTTGTTTGTTTTGGAATACTTTGTGTATTTAAATATTGTATGTGTTGTGTATGTATGTGTATTGTGTAAGTATATGGCACATGCAATCTAGTATGTATATATATCTGCTAGTTGATTAAGTGAGTGGACATGTCACTCGTTCTTTTTTCTTTTTTTCCTTACTGTTTTTGTTGTCATTAAGACTTTCATTTTCTCTTTACATAGCTAATCTAATATATCTTCCTTTGAGTTGTTTATGGAATGAATGCTGGTTTATGAAGGAATAAGGATGGTTGAATTGGGTAGAGATGAGTTTGCAAAACGAGGTTCGGTGTGGAAAGATATGTATATCTGCTTGTTCCACTTCCATTGACTTTCTTTTTTATGCAAAATGTGTTTTACAGATAACTATTTGTATTTCCTTTTTGTATTTGTTACTTGTTATAGTCATTCTTGTATTACTTCCAATCCCCAACACTCTAATTAAACCATAGTTTCCTTTTCATTTTTCGTTATTGTTTTCATGTTGTACACAACCAATAATTGCATAATATTTTTTTGCTTATATGTGTTTGCGTTTACTCTTCTATTAGGTAAATTTTGTTTTATTTCTTTTTTTATTATATTCCTATTAAAGTTGTTAAATGTTGGCAACAAAATTCAATTACTTGGGGAGGGTGTAAAATGTTAAAGCATGGAGAAAAATTAGGAGTTTGTAGCTCGTACAAACTACTAATGGAATTAGGAATTCAAATAATAAGAGCATAACAAAGATTGCCTTTATTTCCCCTTCTCCTCCTTTTTCTTCTTTTTCTACTTTTTCTTTTCCTCCTCCTCCCTATCTCATCTTCCTCTTGCATATTCTTCTTGACTTCTCTCTTTCTCCTCCTCTTACTCCTAATCTTTTTCTAGTTCTATTCCTCCTCCTCCTGATTGTTTTTCCTGACTTCTCTCTTTCTCCTCTTATTTTTCTTCTTCTTTTTCTCCTTCACTTCTTCTTCTTCTCCTTCTTTTGCTTTTTGTAAACATTGTTTAGGGTTTAGATTTTTATGGTTTTTCGGGGTTTTGGGTTTGGAGTTTAGGGTATTGATGTATGTCTAACTAATATTTATTGTGGATTTATTACCTGGTCAAATGATATTGTTATCTTGCTCTTTTTTCAATGCCTTCAAATAAAACTTTGGTAATACAGTTTGAGAGTTGGATGAAGTGGACAAACTGATAATGCTCTGTAGATCATAAGAGTAGTTATGCTTACATGATATGTATAATTGTGATTCATGTTAATAATGATTAGTAAATTTATCGATGTCCTTTTCTTATTATGGAGTATGTTGTGTATTTAAATGTTGTATGTGTTGTGAAAGTATGTGGTGCANCGAAACAAAACTTCAAAGAATTGGGGCTATAATATGAATCAGCTTTAAATGTAAGGGCCAACTTGATAAAAGCAAAGGGGGTAGATTCTGTCATTTTCCTATGCTCCCCACCCACTTTCTTCGGCGAAGAAAAGAATCCGCAGCTCTGAGCTCGTCCGATCCGACAACATGTATAATGACGAATTGGTGACGGAGATGAAGAAGAACATTACAGCATACGCCTTTCTTAACTTTCTCTAAGGTTTTGTTTCTATTTCTTTAAAGATGAGCTCATCTACTCGATTTCACCTCTTCAAACTCCGCAAGAGGTACTAGCTTCACTTCATTGTATTCAAATCTTATCGACATTCCATAACCCTAGAAAAATACTGTAATTTGATTTATTTAGAAGCAAAACGGATATGTCGATCGAATCCTCAATGTTAAATCGATCTTCAGTCCTATCTGGTTCATCATCTTCATTGTTTTTTGCTTGTAACCGTCAAATACAAATTTCAACAAGGATTTCCCCCCAAATATTCAGTTTTCCCTCTCGAATTTCAACCAATTGTATAGTTCCGTACATTCACAGAGGCTTCTTCAATTCAAGACTCCGAGAAAGTGAGGTTTTTGATGCTCCAAGTCATTTGAGATCTGTCGTAGTTAGAGGTAGTGGAAGTGATAAAGTTGAAGACTGTACTGATAGAGTAAATTTATGGTTTGTTGAGGTTTTGGTGAAGCGCGGATTTGTTTTGGCGGCGATGATTTGCGGAATTTTGGCGTTGGGGTGCCGGAGAGTTCTTGCAGCGGAAGGGGTTTTGGATGCTGGTTATGGAGTTTTTGAGCAGAGTGTACTGGCATTGAGGAGCTCTTGGCCCAAAGTTTTGCTGGTTCTTCGGCTTTTTAAAGAGCAAGGCTTGGTTTTGGCTGCGCTTTTGGGTCTCTCTGCTTTTTTCTCAATGGCTGAGACTTCAATTACCACACTTTGGCCTTGGAAGGTATGAAAAGTATAGATTCCAGTTGCATTTTTCTGTCCATTTCTCAAATAAATTTTGTTGGTGAGAAAACTAGTTCTGAAATAAATGAGAAAATCAGATATTTCTCTTGATTCTGTAAATAAAATACCAGCAATGATAGGAATTATCGACTTATTAATGCTGTTTTTTTGAGTTTGCAACCATCACCGCATTTAAGACTTTCTAAGATAATTAACCAATAATAAAGCAGTGCAGGTCCACTTAAAGTGTATATTCAAAATGTGAATTTCAGCTATGGACCGCATTTTATAATGTAATCGTTATTGCCGGATTCTATGTATTTGTGCAAGCACATTTTCAAACTGCTAGTTAACCCACACATGCATAAGCAAAGTACACCAATGGGTAAGCTTTGTTGAGTGGTCATACCCTCCCAATAAACTCCGCCCCTTGTGAAAGTGATGCTCATTCTAAGCCGTAAACAAATCCTATACGCATCTACATCAGCGTTGGGCATGCAGACTTGTTTGATGCAGCTTAGATGAATCTAGTGCAGCTTCTCTTCTGACTTCTTATTGTCTAGACTCTAGACTGCAGTTTTCTTTCAGATTTTCTCCGGTGTGATCTTGGGGTTTATACATGGCCCATGATGGGGAGCTTAAGGCATGATTAATGAAATTATTGGAGAGATGTTCAGTTACTCTCCTTGAGGTATTGCTGTCTAGGTGTTGTTTTTTATGGTTTTAGGGCAGAAAGTGACAAAGCTGGGTTATTAAAAGCTCCACTTGCAAAATTCTGGTTTGTTTGGTGGTTGTCTGGGTGTGGAAGTTTTTTATTATTTTCACAGTTCAGGTCTTTAAAGCTATCTGCTCCCAGGAGGTCTGCCAATGAAGCTGCACACCAGCTAGCACAGATGGCCACACACAGCTTAAGTCTAGTGTGGATGAAGGATGGCTCAGAAATTTGTTGTCCTGACTTGTCTTCTGATCTGGTGGCTTTATTTTGCTTTGGTCTGTTATGAACTCCAACCTTCCCTCCCACTGGTCCACACATGGAAAAAATTGTAATTTTTTTTCAGTTTAAGAAATGCTACCGGGTGATTTTATTTTCACAGGCGATGTTTGCCATTCAAACAATTGTTTTTGTTTTGTTTGGAACATGCAATGATTGAGTTCTCTCTTTGTTTTTTTCCCCTGTTTGTCTCCCCCCCAGCCCCCAAAGAAAAACCCTCATAATGAGAAATATCTCATTGGTTATTCATATTGATGTACACAGGTGCGTGAGTTGGCTGAGAAAGAGTCTGAGGATGGGGTTTTCAAAATGCTTCGCAGTGATGTTACTCGGTTCCTAACGACTATACTTATTGGCACAACGTAGTACTACTTTCTATAGTTGCAGTGATAGTTTCTGTTTTCTTTGGTTGAATATGAATGTTATTCCTTATTATGTATTCAGCGTGGTCAATATTGGAGCAACAGCACTAGTCACCAAGGCTGCAACAGCAATATTTGGTGAAGCGGGTGTGAGTGCAGCAACTGGAGTAATGACTGTATGTCCGGATTCCTTGTTTACTAAATTTAGTGGCGAAAGTTTGAAATTGAATCAAACATCTGAACATTGGGATGTGCTTGTGGCATTAGAAATTTGTCCGTTGTATGCAAAATCCTTATCTTTGAAATTGCTATGTTATCACAATCACGTATCTGAAAATTACACCGACTCAAAGTATAATAACTTAATGATATAGGATATGAGTTCTCGCTCAATATTTATGTAGATAAGCTTATAACCAATAGGTGCTCCCATGCTTGAAACTTGCGTTGAATGTTATAATTCCTACAGTGAACAAAAGGGTGGAAACTTTGGCATTGCTCTTGACTCACCTGTTGAGGTAAGAAAAACACNGAAAATTACACCGACTCAAAGTATAATAACTTAATGATATAGGATATGAGTTCTCGATCAATATTTATGTAGATAAGCTTATAACCAATAGGTGCTCCCATGCTTGAAACTTGCGTTGAATGTTATAATTCCTCCAGTGAACAAAAGGGTGGAAACTTTGGCATTGCTCTTGACTCACCTGTTGAGGTAAGAAAAACACCTCATTTTGGTGTGTGGTTCAATTCTATGGTTCCTTTTCCTTGTTGGCATTGATGATGAGGCCTTTTTGATGGTCAGATGAAATTAATCTGAGGCATGATAGTGATGCAGGTTGGCCATATGGAGTGTAAAGTTAGGGAAAGTTTGTATGTTTAATGGTTAAGAAGATGGAGAGGGGTTGAGGTATTTGGAACTGAAAAAGGTTGTGGCAGTCTTATATCAAATGGTTTTAGAATTCCAGGGAATTTGTTGCTGAACATATCAGCCATTTATGTTGTTTGGGTGTTAAATTTAAAGCCAAAAGAAGGGAAAGGGGTACTATTTTCATGGGTTGAGTGTAGGGGTGATATAACTGACTGGGAAGAGTAAGCCGTGAACTGTAGTTGAAGAGAAACAAGAAGAGGAAGAAGAAGAAGCAGAAGAATTGTTTCGACTACTAGGACTCTTTTAGATGTTATTTTCTAGAATTTTAAGGTCAGGAATGATAGTTTATTTTCATCATCTCAATCTCAATGAAGCCTTCCCTTGTGTAGAATTCTGAATTTTCAATTCACTCCTGAATAATTCAAATATGGTTAGTTGATGAACTATAATTCTTAATGGGCCTCCTTNGAATTTTAAGGTCAGGAATGATAGTTTATTTTCATCATCTCAATCTCAATGAAGCCAAGTTGGTTTCCCTTGTGTAGAATTCTGAATTTTCAATTCACTCCTGAATAATTCAAATATGGTTGGTTGATGAACTATAATTCTTAATGGGCCTCCTTTTTTTTTTTATTCTTGTTTTGATTCTACAGTAGCAATTGGACATGTTCTGTTCGATTCTGTTTTCATCTTTGTTTAGTCTAATTACGATGCATATGCATTCGGAAACACATTCCTATATTACTTCCCATGAGCATTAAACCAGATACTTTTTCTGTCATTGATATCAGGTTGCTGTTTTGCTCCTCACTGAAATTACTCCAAAAAGTATAGCTGTACATAATGCAACAGAGGTTGCTAGATTAGTGGTAAGTTTAGAAGTTGCTTCTTGCTTTAGAAATGAAACATAAGCAAAGATGAAATGATGGATAGATATTTTGTCATACGGTATACCAGTTATTATTACCGCTTTCAACTGTACTTAACAAGTATCACTTGAAATACCTCTAGGTTAGGCCAGTGGCATGGCTTTCCTTGGTATTATATCCTGTGGGAAGAGTTGTTACGTATCTCTCAATGGGAATGCTAAAATTGCTCGGTTTGAAAGGAAGAAGGTGTGCTCTGCCATAAATGTGCTTGGATATTTGTTAGTTTTATTTCATTTTGAGTTTACTACCCTTGCTGCTTTTAATGTCTTCCTTTGAACTCTAATATACCTATTAGATTTTCATTCAATTCTCAATTCAAATTCATGGTTGTATGTTTTGTTTCTATTCTATTTGATAACGTCGCATTATTTTAAAGTTGAGGTAAAGAAACAAGATTTTGAACATCATGTCAAGAATATTTTTATGCTTTTTTTTATTCAGGATGTGCAAGTATTTGTGTATGTGATTTGCACGCCATGTATAGTTGTTTATAACTGTGTGCTCATCGTTTAGTTGACAAGTCTGATACCGTTTCAAAAGCATTTAGAAGGGGTTTCTCATTTATCACACCATCCTTGGTAAAAAACTCTTCCTCCTAGTAATAAAAAGTTACAACAGCAAAAGTTATCCTTGTTGCCTTGTTCGATTACTTGAGGTGATGCTTATAGTGCTTATCGTTTATATTTCCACTTCATGTATAATCTGGTTTGCCCCTCAATTTCAGGATATGAAGCTAAGCTTCAATACTCTTTAATATCGATTTTACTGGTTTTGACTTGTTAGTTGAGACTTGAAATTATTGTCTTGAAATTTTAAGCTACTGCTTGCCAACTTTTGTGTTGCAGTGAACCATATGTTACTGAAGATGAATTGAAGTTGATGTTACGAGGAGCTGAGTTGAGCGGGGCAATAGAGGAAGAAGAACAGGTAAAGAATTATTCTTGTCTTAAGTTTCCATTTATTTGTGGTCTATGGTTAAAGCTAGATGTCAACCGTAGGAGAGCAACTTCTGGTGTTAATAACACGAGTTGGTAATCCTTTTTACATATGCTTCTACGTGGACCTATATCTTACTCACACACCTTTGAATGTGCAAGTATGTATGCATTTCATACAGATCGTAGCACATGCTTATCTTTTACCATTCACAAGTATATGCCTGTTTACATGCATACATATTTGTGGGCCTCCCCAGTGCCTACTTGTGGCAATTACATTGCTACGTATGAGTATCGTTGTATGCATATCTTCACTGCCTTTGAATATGCGAGTTGAATGTAAAAGAAAATATTTTTCATATACATCTGCGTGTAGAAAACATCAAGTCTATGTATACAGAGAGCTCACAATTATATAACCTGTCAAAAAAATAAGGGCTGATGGTAGTTGTGAAACTTTCACACCCCTTTTAAATTGATTGAGAACCTGGAGGATGCAATGCCAAAATAGACTGTGTATCTAGATTTGTATTTGGATGTCAGATCTACCTAGAGTAGGGAAAGTTATCTCTCTGCTGAATTTCATTATGAATGATGCCATGTAAACACCTAGCAATCCCATTTGGAGTAATATTCTGCTTTGGCCTTTTGGCACTCTCAGTGTTCCAATTTTATTATTCTTTCAAGTAGTCACAAATCATCTGCATAATGTTTTTTATTCCCCTACATTTCTCTTTTAGAAATTTCTGTAGAGATTCATATTGTTCCCAGTTTTGTGAATAAGAGGCTATATCTGAGGAGTCTTTCACAGGATATGATTGAAAATGTGTTAGAAATAAAAGATACACATGTTAGAGAGGTGATGACCCCTCTTATTGATGTGGTTGCCATTGATGCGAGTGCAACACTTGTTGATTTCCAAAACTTGTGGGTGACTCATCAGTATTCCAGGTATGTAAACTTGTCAATTGGTGGATATATATTCCCTAGTACAACACGCTAAGAGATGTGCATATATGTTCTTAGGGTGCCTGTTTTTGAGCAGCGTATTGATAATATAGTAGGCATTGTGTATGCAATGGATCTTCTAGATTATGTTCAGAAGGTTTGTTAAGCACAGCTTCCGTCCTTCCTTATCCAATTATTGTTGCTCCATTGTGTTTCTAATCATACACAATCTCTCATAATACACAGAATTTCTATTTTTGATTTTGAAGGGTGAATTACTAGAAAGTTCTGCTGTGGGAGATATGGCACACAAACCTGCATACTTTGTGCCTGGTAATTTGAATTTAGTTGTGTTCTCTGCTCTAACCTTCCACCTTTCAATGAAATTTCTTGTAAATTATTGCTATTTAATATCTCCAATAGAATATTGAAGCAAGAATTTTTATGTGCGTTATCATGATGTTATTTTGGTGGTACATACTCTAAATATCCTTTGACGTCTACTTAGCAAAAGAAAAATATGATTTCGTCCTCTAAAGCTTTAGGAGTTCTCTTAATTCCTGTAACTCTACTGCAGTCAGAAGTTGACACTTGACAGTGCCAAAGAAATTTACCTCTCACCCATGTGAAGACCTCGATACTAAGTTTTCAGTAAAGGATGCACCTTCTTATGGGTTCTACAACCAAAGACTGCCAATTTTTGCTTTTGCCGTTATGCACAAGACTGTGGGTAAACATGGATAGAAAGAGATACATATATCTTGGAGAGGGAGAACAAAAGAAGTAACATCCTTGATTATCGGAATGTTGAGATTTCTAAAAATGTTGAGATCACAGAAAAATGGAAGCAAATTACAAATTTGATGATGGGAGCCATATCAATATGAGAAATTGTGTCAGGTTGGGTGAAAGAATTCTCAAATAGAACTGATAGGAAAAAAAATCTAAAGAAGTTTTTCTTAGATACTAGATCCATCTTTCATGATTTATCTAATGTGTGGAGTCAAATCAGGGTGTACTTGCCTTCTTAGGACAATGTTGGGTTTCCATGAAGGCTAGATTGACAACCGACCATTTTTCTGAAGACCATGTATACTTCTGGTTGGAAAATGCTTTGGAGAGTTTTACTTATTTAGAAATCACTCAACATTGCCCCAACAAGGTGTTGGTCCTCAAATCCAAATGCTTGTTATATTATTACTGGACACATGCATAGATAATATTTTGCCTTCAAATTACAGATTCAATGTCAGTATGGAATCTTCTTAGAGAGTTCCGCATCAGGAAGGTGCATATGGCTGTTGTTCTTAACGAATACGGTGGAACTGTGGGAGTACGTAAACACCCTCGTCTGTATACTATTCAAGAAAATTCTTTCTGCTCTTTTGTGGCTTATGTGTTGGGCTGTTTGTGCCAATTTTTCTCTGTATGACTAATATCTCCATCATTTTCAGAACCTTGAATTTCTTTTCTATTTTTCTTCTCTGAATTATATAGATAGTGACCCTTGAAGATGTGGTGGAGGAGATCGTTGGTGAAATCTTTGATGAAAATGATTCGAAGGTAAGGTTCACTTAAATTCTGTGTTTCAATGTCCTTTTTTCTCTTTTTTCTTTAATTTATTTAAATTTCTTTCAGGTTTGTGGTTTTCAATATCCACCAATTTATATTTTTATCTGCTTCCTCACTGATATCTTTTGCATCCTTATTCTAATTTACTATCAATATCGGGGATTTTAACTCCGTGGTAATGGGATGATATTTATTCATATAAAAATTATCCTTCACTCCCAGAGAATTCAATGTTCTATGCCTGATAAAGGCGGGGAAACTACCATAAGCAAAAGGTAGTATGTACAATATCAAAGGAAGATGAACAGTATCAGTTAGTAAGAGTGTGATTTCTGATTTTATTTTGGCACAGTCCAGAACACTCATACACATGCACAGTTCTACACTTGATTTCCAAGCCATTTTATTTTTTGATATATCGTAGGTACATTTATTTTGTCGTCTTTCCAAATTTGCCATTACACAACAATGCTATTGACAGTGGGTTTTACTTATTTTTTAGAGTTGTTATTGTGGGTCTTGTATGGGTAGAAAGCAAAGGGAATAGAACCTTTTAAATTACCCAAATGTCAAAAGTGCCAATGATAGACTTGATAGTGATAGGCAGGTTTATGCTGTTCCCTGTTGCTAGTAAACCACGAGTGGCTGTATGTATGCTCGTACGCTGNAGAAATCACTCAACATTGCCCCAACAAGGTGTTGGTCCTCAAATCCAAATGCTTGTTATATTATTACTGGACACATGCATAGATAATATTTTGCCTTCAAATTACAGATTCAATGTCAGTATGGAATCTTCTTAGAGAGTTCCGCATCAGGAAGGTGCATATGGCTGTTGTTCTTAACGAATACGGTGGAACTGTGGGAGTACGTAAACACCCTCGTCTGTATACTATTCAAGAAAATTCTTTCTGCTCTTTTGTGGCTTATGTGTTGGGCTGTTTGTGCCAATTTTTCTCTGTATGACTAATATCTCCATCATTTTCAGAACCTTGAATTTCTTTTCTATTTTTCTTCTCTGAATTATATAGATAGTGACCCTTGAAGATGTGGTGGAGGAGATCGTTGGTGAAATCTTTGATGAAAATGATTCGAAGGTAAGGTTCACTTAAATTCTGTGTTTCAATGTCCTTTTTTCTCTTTTTTCTTTAATTTATTTAAATTTCTTTCAGGTTTGTGGTTTTCAATATCCACCAATTTATATTTTTATCTGCTTCCTCACTGATATCTTTTGCATCCTTATTCTAATTTACTATCAATATCGGGGATTTTAACTCCGTGGTAATGGGATGATATTTATTCATATAAAAATTATCCTTCACTCCCAGAGAATTCAATGTTCTATGCCTGATAAAGGCGGGGAAACTACCATAAGCAAAAGGTAGTATGTACAATATCAAAGGGAGATGAACAGTATCAGTTAGTAAGAGTGTGATTTCTGATTTTATTTTGGCACAGTCCAGAACACTCATACACATGCACAGTTCTACACTTGATTTCCAAGCCATTTTATTTTTTGATATATCGTAGGTACATTTATTTTGTCGTCTTTCCAAATTTGCCATTACACAACAATGCTATTGACAGTGGGTTTTACTTATTTTTTAGAGTTGTTATTGTGGGTCTTGTATGGGTAGAAAGCAAGGGAATAGAACCTTTTAAATTACCCAAATGTCAAAAGTGCCAATGCTAGACTTGATAGTGATAGGCAGGTTTATGCTGTTCCCTGTTGCTAGTAAACCACGAGTGGCTGTATGTATGCTCGTACGCCGATTCTTGTTTGGATCCTTTCTTAATTCGTTTTTATGTTGTTTCACTGTATGCAGGAGGAAATCCAGAAAAAAACTGGATATATTGTAATGCGGGCAGAGGGAATTTATGATGTGGATGCTAATACATCAATTGATCAGCTTTCTGAAGATCTCAATATCAAAATACCGGAGGTAATTCATTTTTCCCCTTGTTTTAGTGAGTTGGTTGTTGGTCGGGAGGATTGAATATTGGTGCACTACATTATTTCATGCTCATGCTCATTTTTTATGTTAGTTTATGTGTGATGAGACTCATTGAAAATTGGTGAACCAATCTGAGTTTTTATGTCTGGAAAATCCAAAATTTTCTTGAACATCTCTCTCTCTCTCTCTCTAAACAAAGAAATAACTAATAGTTTGTGATTTGCACTAAAAAACATAAAAAGAAAAACCTTGTGCACAGTTCTAGTGGATACGTAAGCAATTACAGAAGCCCTAAAGATCTCATGCCACTTTTGTATTGACCGAAAAGTCGATGTGCTAATTCCTCCATCTCCTTACACATTGGAGTGATATATTGAGTCTCCAAGACCTGCTAATCAAGTGGGTCTAGAGTATTCCATTGTGCATTTACCTCCATCAAAATGTAGATCTCTTTTGCAAACACCGTTATTTATGCCCAAAATTATATTTGATTAGAAATCTATTTGATTAGAAATCCTTATCCCCTTTTGTACAATAACTCTCATTGAAAGAAAAACCACGGAAATACAAGCGAGTTCTTGTAAAATTCATACTTGTTTCTTTTGTTTTATTTTTGTCCTCTGTTCCTTGATTGCATTTTTTTTAACCGAAAAAGGGGTTACACTTTCTTACTTGGGGTATCCCTCTGCCTCTTTTCTCTTTCTCTCTCACTGGTTTTTTAGGAAGTTTCAGCTAGGTGGGCATCAATGGTTTATACTTCTTCACATTTACCTTTTTCCCTTTGTCAGAGTCATCAGTATGAGACAGTATCAGGCTTCATCTGTGAGGCATTTGGATATATTCCAAAGACGGGTGAGACCATAAATGTGGTACTTGAAAAGGAAAATCAGGAAGAACACAATGATGAGGCAGAATCTGACCCCACAGCTCAGACTGAAAAGAATCAAATTTTTAAGCTTGAGGTATGGCTTTCATTATCTTGCTTAGATTTATTTATTTATTTTTCTTTCCTCAAGTAGTGGCTATGTTCTTTTTAAGTTTAAAGCCATGGTCTGTCAAGCACTATGTTGCATAACTGACTAGGAATTTGAATTCAAGTGTGCTTTGGATGAATAGCCATGGATCATCTTGGCTCTCTCGACGTGTATACATTAATCATATCCTAGCCATCGGGAGTCAACATTATTTAAATGCAATTGCTAGGAATGAGACCTTTGATGATGGTGTGAATTCATCCCCGGGCCCTACAGCCAAAAAATTTACTCTAACTGTGTACTAGTCCAAGTTGCAAGTTGCAAGTTTCACAATTTTCTTTTTGATTCTCCCCACCCAACCCAAGGGCTTTAAGGTGCAAGGAATATGTCAAGAGCTGAACTTAGTGTGGAAGTTTTTATATTTTGCCTATATATTATTCTCTCGGACACTATAAAGTTGTTGTCGTAATTATATCTATAAAAATATCACTCTTGTAATAATAGAAGCCTCAACAAGGCAATCGATTAGGAAGCACTTGGTGGAGTCTGAAACTGTAAGTTGTCTTGGAACCAGTTCCTTTTCTTGAACAAACTTATGTAGGTATGAAAATTATATTAAAGGAAGAGAGGGAAAGCTAAAAGCGACAAGGAGAAGTGCCGGCTGGAGTATAAGATGCATGTCAATCATGATACAATCTATTACCGCCATTATTGAGTGAATATGTATTTATTTGAACACTTGTGGGGACAAAAGGTGCATTTAAAGATCATGCTGCATTGAAGAGAGTATGGTGTGTACTTAAAAATTAATGTAATGCTACGTATTCTAAGGAGCTTTGCATTATAAGATTGGTCAGAGTCGTGAAATATTGTGTGATTTACATAACCCAGTAATCTGTCACAACTTAAAGACAGTCTTAGCTCGGTGCCTTGGGATTGAAGAAACAGAAAACATTTTCTTCATTAGCAGCCACCTGACGATGTGTTATATTATTATCTGTGGTGCAGATATTAGCTGGAAATGCCCGAAAGGTGAGTGCTGTTCGATTTGAAAGGGTACACCATGATGCAATGGAATCCAAAGATGTGACACGTTTGGTTTCCAAGATCATGAAAAGAAAATCGACGAGTGATGATGAGACTAACCACGATGAGGTCCCATACCAGGAGTGGGAAATGGATATGGATGACGGTGTTTCTGATAATTCTGTAATTTCGAAATATGACAACATTGATGACTATCTTAATAAACAATAGTTACATTACGATATGTTCTTCCTGTTCTTACACCACCAATAAGAGGTAAATGGGAATAAATAAAAACGAACATGTAAAATTTTTCACAGATGAAGGGAAGTGTCAACATATGAGTCATCAATGTTGTTTGATCTGTGCATGACTACATCACTAGACCATAAGTTTTCCGAAATGGGAGTCTGAGTGACCTGAAGATCAGTATGGTTGCTTTGTAAGTCATATGTTGCAAGGAGAGAGGGCCTTGAAGAGGGGGCCTTGGTGGAAGGATTACTTCAAAGTGAAAGAAAAATCTGGAGAGATCATAGCGATTGTTTGGATTTAGAGAGCATTCTCAAGTACTCTCTTTCTTTTTGCATTTTCTTAGTTCTCTGCAATTGCTTAAACCGCTCCTGTAGAAGAGCAATGGAGGAATGATGGATGACAATGGGATCGTTGCTCTGCCTTTTCATCACAGGAAGAAATGTAACCCGCAGTCAAGGGGTGGGATGCAATGCTTGTATTTGTTGAGCCCTTCAATGTTTTTTATATGAAGTAAAGGAGATATGAGAATCGGCAGCTGATATGCAATGTCCAAGAAGGTAAGTTACAGGGGTCCAATCTTTGGTGTGTGCTTTGGTGGAGATATGAAGAGAGGCAAAGGAAGTTCAAAAAGGGTGGAAAAGAATGTCCAAACGGGAGGTGGAAGGTAGAGTCCGGAAGGGCTTCTTTGGTGGATTAAGTAGATGGGTGATTCACTTTCGGCTTCCCCAAAGTAGTGTTGAGCTTTGGAGAAAATGGTGCCTTTTTTGGTTGGTGTGTTTTGGAGGGATTTGCTTATTTTTTTACATTTGAAACCTTCTCTCAAATCTCTTTTGTGGAGAACAGGTGAACAGAGGAAAGTGAGAATGTGCAGACAAAAAAACGGTTGAAAGAGGGAACAATTTTAGAGGTTTGATGTTTTCTTCTTGTTTGAAAGCTTGCATGGATAGGAGAGAAAAGAAACCTACCAAAAGGTACCTCCCGCATCCCATCTTCATGTCTTTTTCCTTTTTGGTGGTTTCTCAGTCGCGAGTTGGATATGTTACCTGTTTTTTCTTATTTGAGATTGTAATGACCTAATAAAATGTAATAGAGATTTAAATTAGATTTAGAGATTTGAGAAATGCTCATTCGCCCAAAAGATATTATACGGCTTGGGAGTTCAGAAATTAAACTCTTTAAAATTGGAAAAATAAGATTACCCAACATTTTATTTCTTTTATTTTGCTATAAGCAAGAGTTTTATACATTAGATATAGTAGTAATAAGTGACCAGAAAAAATAAACTTGGGCCTCATGCATATAGATTTTTACTATTGTTTTGATATGGGAGTGTTTAGAGAGTATCATTCATACTAATGTCTTGGTGGAACTTTTGCTCCATTCTCAAAAGTGGTGACAAACAAAAGTTTAAATCCTTGGTCTCCATTCCTCCCCAATCGCGCAAACATTATGGGTCATATTTATCAAGAGATCGCATACGGAAAAGATTGGAATACGAAGAAAAAAAATAAATCAAAATAACTTAAGAGACTCAATTACTTGTGGCACTTTTAAATTCATTAGATATATGATCAAGTGATATAATATGAAAGAAATTTAAGGAATCACATATTAAAATAGATCTCAATTCTAAAATGAGCACTATGAAAGAAATTGAAAGAATCATCATATATTAAAATGAATCTAAATTCAAATCTAAGTAGGGTGTCAATTCGTATTGCGTTGTGTCATTGACATGTGAAAAATTCATGTTGTGTTCGTGTCAGTACTCATCGAAAAAAAACTATTAGATAAGTGTAAAGTTTTAATTTAACTCATTTATTATGCGTATTTATCAATCATGTTAATTTTAGAATTATATAATATCAAGTTCGTAATGATGAGTAAGATTGACACCCTAAATCTAAATACCGACTATAGGTCTATCAAAGTAATTAGGCCTCGACAACGAATTGGGCTTGGTTGGATTGATCCATGATTTTTCAGCGGATAGCCTGCGCCATGTACAAACCCTGGTGGGCTTTGACTAGTCAATGGGCCAGGCTGAATCTGCACCTGAAAAATCTAAGTCTCATGGCCATCCACAGGCTGACTTATTGGGCCAAAAGTTGGCTAAACACGGACCGAGCCTTACGGCTTGTTTTTTGGGCCTAAAACGGGCTTTTTTTTAAAAACAAAATATTTTATGTAAAAATTACAAAAATAAAGACAAAATTCATAAAGTTGGATGTGAAAAAATTAATAACTTCAATCAAATATTCCAACTCCTACTTCTTCGAATTAATAAGCTATAATAAAAAAAAAGGTTAAATAAAAAAATGGAATTCAAAGATATTGAGAGAAATTTGAGGGATAGTTAAAAAAAGTAATTAAATTGTGATGAAGAAATAATTAAAGTCTCGATCATATTTATAAACTCGTGAAAGTCTTGAATTGTGGTGAGGGAGGATTATGTAATTTTTTTTAAAACAAAAACTAAGCCGTGGGGGATCTGTAATTTTATTCTGAAAAAGGGTTGGGTGGCTGGGAAATCAAACAAATAGCCGTTAGCACCGTCTCTGTCTCTCGCTCTCTATCTCTGTCTTTCGCTCTCTCCTGTGAAACAACAAATCATCTTTCTCTCTGTTCCTCAGTCTCGCAGTCTCTCTCCGTTCCTCAGTCTCGCAGTCTCTGTCTTGCCGCCCGCACTCCTGCGAAGCCTCAACTGTGAAACCTTCAACGCCTAATATTTATCATAAAAATTCCCTCTTTCAAAACCCACCGACTCTTTCTCTCGCTCTCTCTCCGTCTCTCGCTCTCTCTTTATCTCTCTTCGCCTCCTCTCTCTCTGATCCCCAGTCTCTCTCTTGCCGCCCGCTCTCCTGCGAAACCTTCAACTTCCATACAATCACAGGCGAACAACACAGATGAGGCTTTGATTGAACTACCATTGTTTTGGCGCAATCCAGGTATTTTACTCTTTCTTATCTCTCTCCATCACGTTTTTTTTAGAAGAACAGAAAAATATATTGATCAATCTTTAAAGAATTACGAGAAACAATTTTGGAAAAGACCAACTGTCTAATCCATTACAACTCAGCAAGGCAAAATTGCCTAAAATCTAACCTTCACTCTTCGCAGCAACCTCACATCTTTACAAGCTTCATGATCCCAATAAACCCTTTCTTTCCCTTACCTTTATTGATACTTACTTTTAATCAATCAACGATTTTTTTTTGTAAATTTTCTGCATGTTATCTAGCCCAGAAAGACAATTCATGCTAAATTGAATCAATTGCATGTTATCAAAGGGGGGGCCGGTGCCGCCAGTTGCATCACCACTTACATAGGTTAGTGCTATTTTCACACAGCGCCCCCATTAATTTTTTTTTTTATCTTTCTCATAGCCCTGGTTTTTCTCTGTGGTTATACCTTTGCTTTCTCACCCCTCGCTATAATAATGAATTTGTTTATTCTACCTTAGTCTTTCATGCTCAATCAATTGCATGTAATAACAATTTAATTTTTAATTACTTACCAAATTTCAGTTGTANACTTATACTAAATAACATTAAGTTGGGGGAGGAAAAAAATATTAATAAGAGGCGGAAGGCATTTCAACTAATGTCAAACACTTGATATTCATCAAATAAATACACTAATAGGATATTAAGGTATTATAATATAATTGAAGTGTTTATGCGTATCATATGAAAGTACTCACAGTACAAAGCTACATCCATTATGCTATAGAGTATCAAGCATGCTCATAAATCAGTGCAGATTCTAAGTAAACACTAAGAGAAACTTCACATGTGGTATAAATATGTTGACAATAGCTTCTCCAATACATATAATGACGATATTATGNCTAATAAAATAAAAAATCTGGTTATAATTTATTTAAGATTTATCATTGATTGTCCAGTAAATAGGCTTAGGGTTATCTTATATGGTAGTTCGGAGTAATCGAACCAGCTAATCAATCAATGTCCATGCCTAGATGGGCTGACCAAACCTACACTTGGATCGTTGATTAGTGACCAGCTCAACTCAAGTCTGAATGGCATGTCTCGTGTTTCTTTAAATAGGGGACTATATTTGTTATGTTTTGTACTTATTGTTTATATGTTTTAAATTGCTACTCTAATATTGACATAATTGTAAGTTACTTTATGAGACTTTCATCTGTATTGTTTTACTTTAGGTTGTATGTGCTTACTTCCATGGCATTGAATTTAGGATATCTGTCCACTTTCATTGCTATTGTCATTTTTTTTTATGCTAAAAACACTATCAAATATTAATTGCCGGCTCAAACGAATTTGATTGCTACTCAACCAGGTGTAAAAGTCATTTTGAGATGATTATAGATCCATGTGAACAAGCAAAAGATAGTGGCTTTTGGGAACACGTTTGAATATTGAATATTGTATGGGTTTTTACTCCTTTTGAGAACACGTTTCAATATATTACGTTAAAGTGGACATAACCATAGTTACTCTCAGAAAAAAATTAAACATATAAGAGAAAGAAGACGAAGATAGGAAAAAAATTGAGAGATTAGACAAATAAGAGAGAGAAGGTGGATATTGCTGTGTAGGTTTTTTTTTTTTGTTGTCTTTTTTTTTACATGGATTATATAAGTTATTATTGTGGGATTGGACACCAAATTGTTTTAAGCTTTGAAAAACTCCGTGTGATCTAATAAGATCATTTTATAAAGTTACTATTGATTTTAATTTTTTAATGTACTTAAATCTCGACAAAAAAAATGTGTCTAAATTAAGTTTGATTTCTTGATAAGGAAAGAACTGCAACACTTTCATCATAATAGACATGGAAATCTGATAGATTTTTAAAAAATATTGAAATGTAGTTTATGTTATATGAAGCAAGATATTCAAATACAAACATTTGAAAAATATATTAGAGTAATGATAATCATTAAATTCTACTTAAAACTAGATTAAAATAAGAACTTTAAAAAATGCAAACTAAAATTTAAGGGTAAGATAGGGCATTAAAATGGCTTGGATATGGAATAACTTGTTTGCATAGAGTCATCACTTCAATTTTTCA